CTGTCGGACACATAGGTCTGAACTGCAAATCCGTAGAGGGTTTCTGCGAATGCTCCCCAGTCGTGTACCATAGAGGTATGAGAGGATCGTGTCCTCAACCTCCTGCAGGATTCAGGTTTTCGGTCCTGGCTCTGTTCCAGACTTTATACGAACGAGCGATCCCTCAGTGACCAGTGTCCTTTTCTTTTTCGGGGTATATATAGCTTTAGGATTGTGATATCTTGTTCTGTTGTTACTGGCTCATTCTTGGCTTCCTGATCTTTGCCACAATCAACTCGAATCCCCTTTGAAATTACCCGCTGAAGCCGCTTTGTCGCAGAGGGTCAGGGTGTGGGTGTTCCGTCCTTGGTGACCTTCGTTGGCGTTGGCTCCCGCGATCCTTCAGGACGCCCCCGACACGGCGGCCCGAATGCAGGTTGGACTCATGAAGACCTTGGAGCCAAACTGTTTCCTCGGGGGTGCTGTTTGCAGGTGTGCAAAGCCGCCGCACGAGGCGGCCCAGCACCAGAGACGCTGCGGGCTCAGACTCTTCCCTTACGCAGGTTCGGAGTCCGCGTGGCAGGTCGTCCATCTGTGGAAGTCTCTCTTGCTTGCCCTTTCACAGGACACATGTTGATGGAATGGTTCATGCGGTCATGATTTCGTGTGAGGACCCAGAAACATGTAGTGATGACAGCCTGGCCCATGCAGATGACACAACCTATGTGCACACACAGTGAAGTAGTAAGATTGCTGATCCCAATTCACACATCTTTGAGATGCTTCATTTTCGCTTCGTACGGCACGTAATGGACGACGCTCTTCTTGGTTGGCAGTGTGCGTAGTTGAGTCTAAGTTGCTGAACATCGGAATTCTCAAAGGGTCTCCGGTCTTAACTGGGGCAACGTCCTCTGAGTGGGCCATCAGCATCAACTCCCTGTATTGCTCCTGCTGCAGTAAGGTCTGCTTTTATTTACCCCGGAAAGATTCAGGAGGACGAGTCCTCGAGGCAGGTGCGGCTTTACAAACATGCTGAGCAGCCTCTGTCCTCTCGTGCTTTTGAACGATTCAGGTCTACGCTCGCACCTTGAACCCGGCGATCTCAGATTTTGGCGTGGGTGATTTTCCCAGCTGATTGGGGATGCATATCTGCTCGTCTTGAGCTGCCATTAAAACCACCGTCAACCGTCTCAGTCTCATTGAGACATGAGTCAGGTTCTGGTGCCCTGCAGAAAATTTTAATGTGCACAATTGCGTAGTGACTCTACTTCCATGAGGTGCCATGTCCGTACCTCGGATTCAGTACCATTGAAATCCGACACGCCGCGGCACAAACGAAGCACACGTGGTCACACGTAGCGAGTTTACTGAAGCATGTGAGTGCATGTTCGCTTCTGGAACGTGTCATTCGGCTTCTATGATCCTTGGTTTCCGGTTTCGAACCATAAAACATCGATCAAGCTCATGCGGCACCGTTGCCAACAGCTTCACCCACAAAGACTTACATATTTTCCAAAGCACCTTAAATCTCTGCTACAGAACATAAGAGTCAGCCGCAAAACCAGCACCGAGGAGAGAATCTGCAGCTACAGCTCAATTCATTGTGTTTGGCATGAAGGATCTCCTGAAGATGCACGATTTTGGCCGGGCGACTGTTTTGACCTTTACAATTAACTACAAGAGTGAGGGTTTGTCCCTGAAGTCTTGAGGTTCTCAGGCACCGGCAACCTTAGGCAACATGTGGTTCGATTGCCTCAACGGAGTAAGACCTCGAGCCATCGGCAATCACCGGTTTGAACGCTTCCTCATTGCCTCGTGACTTAGTGACTTCGTTCCTCGTCTAGGCTTGCAAGCAGCAGGTCTCCATGAATAGGAGCCAGGAAGCTTCCACTTCTAAACAAGCTTTTCGCTCTTGCACGCATCTTGCCTGGACTTGCTCATGTTTGTGTACATGTGCGTCTCCAGACGACATGTGAGACGTGTGCTTCTCGCTGAAAATTCAGCACCCCGTTATTTTCCGGCCTCATGCCTGCGTGCAGAGCCTCATGGCTGAGACGAACACCAGGGTGAAGAGAGAAGGTTCACCACAAACCAGGATCTCTGCCTTTCAGTCCGTTACAGTCTAGAGTCCTCTACATTGTTGCCAGACGTCCCAGCGATGTAGTGCTCTGCACAGCAAAGCTCATGAAGGCGAGGCAGATCATAAGCCGCCCTAGATCATTAGCCGCCGTGTATGTACCTGTAGTGATATGTCGACAGTCGGATTTCCTGAAGCCAGCCACGTATCAAAATCAGTTCACAATAATTCAGCCAAGTCCGCAATGCAGTTCAACACTGGCTGTCGACTTGTGATGTGATGCAAAAACCACGCAGTGTTGCGTGACAGCCACTTCTTGCGACATGTTGCGACCTCCAAAGCACAGTTTTGCCCGTCGTAAGGGCTGTGACGTCCAAACTGCTTAAACGGCTTTGGTTGTCAAGAATCCTGCCTGGTGTGTAGATAGGTTTGCAGGATGCGACAAGAGGTCACAGAGAAAGGTCAGTGCGATCAGTCTGCAAGCATCCACGACACCCCTCCTGCTGTGAGCATTGGGAGACAGCTCCCACTTTGCAATGCTGTGAATCCAGCAGGAACCTCAACATGAAAACCCTCAGGAGTGAATCCAGCGAGAACCGTTTTCCCAAGACGAAAACCCTAAATGAACCTTGTGCGACGGTTCTGGTTTGGTGCTAAATCACGAAAGCTAGCCTCCGTGGCTAGCTGAGTTCCTTACCAACCGAAAGGTTGCATCTAGGGGTGTGGGGAAGGGCCCCCAGCCAGGTGGGCATTTTTTGCGCGTATTCGGGGCTATCCCCCACCTGGTGCTGGTTTTCTGCGTTCCCCCGCCGGGTCCGTTTTGGGGTGTTTGAATGTGGTGCTTCGGACCGCTTCCGAGTGGAAAAACGGCTCCCCGATGATGCTCATGATGCGCGTTTGTTGGCCCCAAGAAGCTCCCAATGATGCTCGTGATGCGGGCTTGTGGCTCGGACTCGGATTGGGCTCCAATGATGTTCGCGATGTGCGCTTACTGGCTCCGATGCTTATGATGCTTGCAGCTCATGATGCTCACGCGTCGCTTAATTGTTCTATGTTGGGCACCCGACCTGAAGCCATTGGCTTCTAAGCATGATATACACATGTATTTATGGTATGTTTGTGTATATGTACATATAGATAAATATACGTGTGCATGAAGCTCTGATCCAACCTCTTCCATATACTGTGTTTCTACCATTTCCGCTGTTCTATGTTGGGCACCCGACCTGAAGCCATTGGCTTCTAGGCATGATATACACATGTATTTATGGTATGTTTGTGTATATGTACATATATATATATATACATATATATATATATATATATATTTACGTGTGCATGAAGCTCTGATCCAACCTCTTCCATATACTGTTTTTTACTATTTCCGCGCTTGTTGGCTCGGATTGGGATCCAAGAGGCCCCCAGTGATGTTCACGATGTGGCTTGCTGGCTCCGCTCACGCGTCGCGTACTTGTTCTATGTTGGGCGCCCGACCTGAAGCGATTGGCTTCTAGGCATATATAACATGTATTTATCTTAGTTCTCCAATACAAAACGTTTAAACTTTTGGGGTTCTTATAGTTTAGCAGTAGTTTGAAAGTTTAACCTTTTATTTCTGTGGCTATTGGGGGAGTAAGTTATGGTATGTTTTTGTATATGTATATATACATATATATATATATATGTGTGTGTGTGTGCATGAAGCTCTGATCCAACCTCTTCCATATACTGTTTTTCTACCATTTCATAATTTCATACTATACTAGTACTCGAATACACAGTCATATGTAATAGCAGCTGCATCTCGACGAACAAGAAGCGCAAGCAGAGCATGGCTTGGCCCGGTGGGTGTCACCCACATTGAGGGGGATGGTATTGGTGCTCATTCGAGGGTTCAAGAGTTAGGGTTTTTGTATTTGGAGTTCAGTAGGCGTGTATGCATGCTTGCCTTCACTGGAAAAGCCTCGGTTGTTGACGCTTCTAGCTTTCGTCCCAGTCCCTCCTCCGCAAGTTTAGCACAAAAGTTGTGGTTTGGTGCTAAATACATCAGAAAGAAGTTCGCACACCAGAAACTGTTAGTGGGTTGGTGCTAACAAGACACCAAAAAGCTATAACTGAGATGCCTGTTTTGCAACCTTTTGCAGAGATTTGCTGCTTTTGGAGACGCCAAAAACATACAACTCAGTCATTTTGCCAAAAGCAGCTGGAACGTTACACCAAGAGAAAAAAGTCACATCTAAGTCTGCTACCTAATTAAACTTCTTCCTGGATCAAGGCCGGACCACTCCACCGTGAAGGGGCAGCTTCTCCTAGATCGAGCATGTTAGCACCGTCACCTACCAGTAGATCCTGGAAGTTTCTCCAAGCTTTCTTGCTCTAATCCTGCAGATCCGGCGGTCCTGCCATGTCGACAGGAGCTACCAGAGAGCGGCAAAGGCTAAGTAGCGAGATTGATGCCTGTGCGAGCTTCCGCAAGTTGCTTGGAGGCCCTTCAGCGGCAGATCACATCAGGCTAGCGCCGTGCTTGCCTCTGATGGTCGATTGCATGATGGACAGTACGACTTTGCATCCGACTTTATGGTCGGAGTACATGAGTACATCCTTACGTCCTTACTCTCTCGCGGTCTTTCTCAGCCTTGGCCTTCAAGCTTGCATTGCTTCTGATATGACAGATAGATCCATCGACAGGCTATCTTCCTGCGGCCCTACAGTGCGTCATTGTTTTGTGACATGCAGCAGTTCCGGCTCAGAAGCCATCTTAGTTCCATGTGCCAGGCAAGGCACAACGGCATCTGCCAGTAGTTGAAGGACGGTACATGCATTGAAAATCCACGTCGTGCCATCTTTGTAGCCACAGTTTGCGCAATTGGATGCCAGCTGTTCCGAGCAAGCGCATCAACACTCCTGCGTTCTCGCTTGCGATGATGTGGCCGTTTGCTCGGCAATGCCTTGGATGTTCCGCCATCGTGATGAACCGATCTCTCGCATAGACAAGTTCAGAACTTGGCTTCAAATTTGGCAGCCGGAGCTCATCAGTGCTACTGTGGCATGTGCAGGCAAGATCACATATCTTCCAGCGATCGCGCGGCTTGCAAAGCCGAGCGGATTCAAGCAAGCATCATCGCTAGCCGCCAGGTGTTGTCGTGCTTCGTGCAGTTTGCCGGCGACGGCGTTGTCGCTCAATCTCTTTGACTTCGAAGGCGAGGGATACTCAAGTCTTGCTCGAGCTTTGCCAAAAGCCCTAGTGGCATGATGTAGCATGGCACTGGTGCACAGGAACGAAGCGCCACGATCCGCATCCATCCTGCCTCGACCTCCCGAGCGGAAGGGCAGCCGGCCCGAGATTTGGGCGTCCTTGCAGCCACTTGGCGGCGGTTCCGCACGTTACGCTTTCGGTTGAGCGGTGCCAAAATATAGGGATCGCAGCAGCATTTTGCACAAAACCGTTTTAGTTCTCTGCTTTACCTCTTTCAGCTCGCCGCTTTAGGAATCGGCATTTGGCAGCCCCACACGTGGGTTTCGGACCTGCCCCCTACCCTCAGCCGCTTGAGCCTGCTCGCCCCAGGGGTCAGGGCTTGCCGCCTGCGCTTGCAATTAGGATGCAGGTCTTGCAGGTTTGGCTTCCCACTTAAGAGGCAGGCGGCCACCGCGTGGCACCGCCTTCCGTGTCGATGTGCTGCACGAACCACTCGCATCACTGAATGTGTCGTGTGTACCTGGGTCAGACTCCTCCAAACGTTGACCAGGGACGCCTGAAGGTGTAGATGCAGAGTGCTTGTGACATCTCAAGCAACATATGCTGGGCATTGGTGACCATGAATCTTTCAGGCCCAGATGTCATCTGCTTATGCGATGCAAGCTAAGTCACACAAGATCGATATCGGCGAGAAAGACATTGCGACTAGAATTGTTGCTAACCCATGAGCAGCTTCGGCTATTCCGAGGGTCGATTAAGTGTCTTACGATGAGAGCCACGCTCCGCCACAGTGAGGTGCACATTTTGGTTTCAGGATAGGAGTGGTCACGGCATTAGCCTTGTAAAGATCGGAAGTTTCGTATGGTCAGTCCGCACCTAGGTGGACACTAAGACTTTGGTTTCAGATTTGATGTTGACATGTCGCGAATTTCCAGTTTCTAGCATTTGTAGAGGAATCCGTGCTTGCACAAACTCGCATGTCATAGGGCCAAGCCAGCAGCCTTTCTTCTTCATCTTGCTCGGGCCGGCTGCCATTTTGGGTCAGACTCACGACGGGTCTCGGTGACGCGGGGTTGTTGTTCCCGTGGTGTCTTTTTCTTGGTTGATTGTTTTCTGTTGCTGGTCATGTCGACTCCTCCGCGTGCCTCGCACGACGATCTGCCTGTGCAGATCAGACAGAACCTTGCAGTGCAAAGAATGCAACAGAACCTCTTCGAGCTTGACGAATTCTCTTCCCCTGTGGCACCACAGGAGGATGCTGAGGCAGCCGCTGCCAATATCCCGGCCAGGGCGGCACCTGCAGGTGCTGCCGATGACGTTGTCATTGAAGATGTGTTGGCTCTGCTCGCCCAGATCACCAACCAATCAGAAGACGAGGTGAAGAGAGCAGGTGTTATCGAAACACTGCGAGCCTGCAACACGGTGGGTCTCCTCAAGGGACAGCCCATCCTTCAGCGTTTGTGCCTGGACATGTACGATGAGACCAAGCGCAATCGGCTGATGGCCTCCAGCCGTGGCTGCTCTACTTCGGGCAAGCCTCCTGTGGTAGAGGACGCGGTTGCCTCAGGTGCCGATCGTCCCTCCCAGGAGGTGTCACCTAAGGCAGTTGATGTCGAGATGGTTGAGCCGGCGGATCTGGCTTCTGATGGCGACTTTGCCATGGTGGACGTGCCCCCTAGAAAAAAAGCGCGGTTGCCTCAGGTGCCGATCCCCCCTCCCAGGGGGTGCCATCGGAAGAACATGATGTGGCTCTGTCGGAGCCGGGCTTGGTCGATTCCACCAATGGCTCCTGGGTCGTGGCCGACAAGGCGCCGTCGATCACGGTGTCGAGCATTTGCAAGCCTGGGTTCAAGAGCAGCTGGACGCGGCAAGAGACCCCCAGGCGGTCCTGCCGCTGATAGAAGATCGGGTGGTGCTGCTCCAGAGGGAGCTGCCGTGGGTCTGAAGAGACGGTCGGGCATCACGTCTGGGGACACCAACCTGTAGACGGCCTTCTTGGCATCCACGCACTGGACCACCGCCCTGTCTGTGCCCAGGAGCTCCTCCTTCGTCAAGTTCGGCAGGGAGAGGATGACGGTGCCCACGTTCTTGAAGTCCAGCTTGTGCTTCATGTGCATCAGCCCGCTCACCAAGAGACTCGGGTCCTGATGGAACTCCTTGGATGTAGCATCCACATGCGAGAGGAGCTTCACTCGGTCCTCCCTTCGCAAGCAGTTCCACCGGCCAAAACCACGCTGTTGATCTTTTGGCCTTTAATCATCCCCACCTCCTCGGGACGGTGCAGTACCACCTGCACACTGCCTCCCACCAGGGGTGTGACTTGCTGAACAAGTCCATGAAGAGATCCTCAAGACGAGGCGGTGAACCTGGAGAACAAGACCCACAGAGGGAAGGTCCTCAGGGCGGCTGCGGGGGCTGCCCTTGCAGTGCTCCAGTGCCATTCGAAGCTTGTTGCCTGGGCCGCTTCCAACGATGTGGCCTCCACCGCCTTCAAGTCCCAAGGAGCGGACATACTCACCTGTTGTGAGAGGGACGCCCTCCCGCTCCTCCTGGTGGTACAGAAAGGTGAGATGGCCCACGTCTTGAAGGAGTATGCTGACGTGCCCACAGTCAGGACAGTCCTAACCAAGCTGGGCATGGCAATTTGTAACCTCCGGACGCTGATGGAGACCCCGAGCCAGAAGGGCGCCACGCTCCTTGACCTGGTCCCGGGGGCTGATGTCGCTAAGAACATCTTCGACCATCTGGACTGCTCTTCCCCCCTAGGTCTCTTGCAGGCGCACACTGCGGGGAATCTCCTTGACTTCGGGCAACAGGGCTGGGAGCACTTCGACAGCCCCTCGGGACCCGCCTTGGTTGACTCCCGTGGCCGCGTCCTGTCCCTCTCCGATGTGACTAAGGTGGAGGCGAAGGCGGGGGGCATCTTTGTGATCTCCTTCCTGGATGGCTCTTCTGTGGACGCCAGTTTTGGAGCTGGTGGAACCGCGCCAGGAAAAGGCAGAGGGGGACACCCCGGTTGCTTCAGGTGCCGATGGGTGGACCCCGAAACCAGAGCGGGCGCCCACCGACCGGGACATCGCCATGGCGAACCTAGGCCTTGGAGCAGGCGGCCATGGAGGAAGGGACCGTGCATGCTGCGGAAGATGGCCCAGATCTCCTCAGCCACATTCGCTGCCAACCTCACTGGCACCAACCAGGGCCAGGGCCTTCTTGCTGCGATGCGTAGGACCCTGGCACCTCAGAAAATGACCTTTGATAAGGAAGCGGGAGGAGAATAAGAAGCGCAATGCGGAACAGCTCCAGGATCACTTTGTCTACACCCCAGTGGTCCAGCAGCCCAGCCTGTGGAGCAAGGAGTTGGTGGAACTAGTGGAGCGCCACGCAGAAGGAGTCACGGGGGAACTCTCGAGTTTCCAAGAGAGGGACCCGGACGTGCTCGGCAGGGTACAATCCGAGGTGGTGGCGGTCCACAAGCTTATCCAGTCGATACCGAACGTCCCGGAGGACATCGAAGGTGGGGACCTCAAGCACCAGGCCGACGTCCAGCGTGTGGCCGCCTTCTTCAACCCTGCCCTCTTCGGCAAGCCGTTCCCGGAGCTGCAGGGGACGAAGGCTCCGGAGACTCTGGAAGACCAGGTCCGGACCTTGAACGCCATGCTACAGATGTGCAAGAAACAGTCCTACCTCACGGGTTGGAGGTGGGTGCGGCAACCGGGCTCGGTCACCCAGGTGGAGGCTGACGAATGGTACGCTGGGTGGACGGATCTCAGCCACGCAGCCTTCTCATCGGCCATGCACGCTGTGACCTCCATCTTTGCCAAGCACGGACTGGCGACGTACAGCCTCCAGATTTCGGAGACGGTGGGGAACATCCTCAACCCTATGGTGGCGCTTTCTAAGCCAGGGCGAGCCTCACCACTGGCGCGTCAACCTCCAGACGGTGACCCTCAGGGAGCTTTTGAACTGCTACGGCAGCGTGCTTTCGGCCAAGGACATCTGGAACATGGTGGGCCCAACGAAAAACGAGGGCCAGAAGAAGTTCCAGAAGGGGTTCCCTCTGGTGCGCTCCAACCTCCGAAAGCGTGGGGAGTACCGTGCGGCCCGCCGTCAGGCCTGAGTGGACCTGCGTTTGAGGGCGAAGTCGTGGATGGAGGCAAGGGGGTTCGGAGAACCGAAGTGCCCCGAGGACTACGCGATCCTCCACAACCCCAGCTGGCTCAAGGATCTCCCGGATGCCCCGGTCGTGGACTCCAAGGACAGGCTTCGGCTTCGAGCGGAGTATGACCACAGGGTCACGCTGCCCATCGAGTCCCTCCCGGTCGACCTCAAGTCATTTTTCTCGGGCAAGCACAATGGGCAGTGGCCCGACTACACCAGGGTCAGCTCGAGCAAGCGTACCAGGAACCGTTATGCCTGCACCCTTTGCAGGACGGAATGGGGCAGGGACTCGCCCTGAAGGGGCGAGAACGATGTCCCAGCCGGACAATCAGAGTACTGGCCTCCAAAGGAGCCAACGCAGAAGCAATGGCGCGGTCTCCATCCGTGTCCCTGGATGTGGAGAAGAAAGATAACAGGGCAGTGGCCAATTCCAGATTGAACTGCCAACCCCAACGGGCCAGGTCTGAACTGGACCACCAGACAGGGTGGTTCGGATGCCTGCACCTGAGGCCATCCCAGTCCAAGGCAAGATTACTGAGGACCGCCGTGGGTTTCCTGGCTCCGTGCCCCAGCATACACTGGTCAAAGCAGGGTATCTTCATCCGCGACAGTCCCGCGAAATCTCTACACTGGGCAGTTGCCCACCACGAAGAACAACTCTGCTGAGCCTCCGAGGTACCTTGGTTGGCGGGATCCTCCGGGTGTTCCAGGAGGAAGGCTGCGGGCCGAGGGCCCGACGCCATTGCAAGGTGGTAGAGGAGCAGCATCCTGAGCAAGAGCAGTGAGTCATTATCCGTATCCTGAGGACCATCTCCGGAAGGTCTTCGAGGCCCCATGCTGCTTGACCCTTTCTGCCCCTGACTGGGCCAGGACAGCCGACTCTAGGTACGTGTCGAAGAATCGACCAAGTCCTGCAATTAGGCCCTCCAAATGATAGCCATGAGGTCGCCGGAGAGCGCCAGAGCACAAAGGTCAGAAAAGGTTTCCTCAGCAAGGACGTCCTGTGAAATGCCTCCCCTACAGATGTCCAATTCTGGAACTGAGGCCCCCAGGAACGGGGCCACTTTTGTGATCGCTGCCTTGGTGCTCCAGGAGTCATCCTTCCCAGCATAGAGAATCAGCACTGTTGGCTGATACGTTTTCCCTGCAACCGGCCAGGAAGACATTTCAGGGAGAAGCCTATCCAAGAGCCTCTGAGGAAGGCCTCTGAAACCAGGCAGAGTTGGCAAAGCATGCGACCAACGGTCTCGATTCCACCGGTCCCCCTGCCGTGCAAATTCGCCGCACCCGAGGCAACCGTCCCCACAGCCACCGGAGGCCCAGAGAGGGCCCGAGCCTGCCACCGCGCCACCTCTGAGCACGTGGCCCATCGCCAATCTTCCTTCTTCTGCTTCCTGGGACTTGAACGAGTCGCCCTTGCCTTTCCAGGGCCTCTTGCCTTTCCCTTTCCAGGAGTCCCTGCCCTTGTCCTTGTCCTTGCCCTTGCCCTTCCCTTTCTTGGGACCTTTGGGCTGGAAGGAGTGGTGGCGGCGAAGGCAGAACTCGTCGATCTCCATCGACCAGAAGCGCGAGTTATTCTGGATTTCCTTAACGGCGGCCGAGATGGTGAGAGTCTCATCCTTGGCCATGTTCAGGGCCACCTGGCGCCAAACCTTCCTCTCCGCTATCATCAGAACCCCCAGTGAAGGGGCGGGTTGCCGGCCCATGATGGTGTCCCCGAAGAGGAAGTTGTAAAATTCGTCCAAGTCCGCCTTAGTCAAGTGAATGCAGGAGGGACCAGTGCAGGTCGCAACAACCATGAGGAGAGATGTCCTCCAGATCATGAGGACCCGTTTCCACTGTTTCTCTGACTGGACACGGTTGGATTCTTCATGGATCCACTCATCGTCCTCCTTGCTCTGACGCTTCTGGAACTTCAGTTCACCATCCTTGGGGTGGTTCGCCACTACCTTGTTGAGATCAAGCTGGGAGCCCGAAAGGAACTCCCCCCGATACAGGACCCTCTTCAGGACCCCGAACATATGGTCCGAACCTTCGTATTCCCGCTCCGGTTCGGTGCCGAACTTGGACAGGTAGGCTGCCCGCATTTCCTGGCGGTCCCCCCTGCCGATCATAGCTTTGTAGTCCTCTACTCTACCGAGTGAATGTCCACCTCGGCAAGTTTCCTTTTCTTGAGGAGCTTGAACTGTTCGACCGCGTTCTCCAGGCGGATCGCTGTGAGGACGCAAGTGTGCTCGTCATAACCATTCTGGCCTGGTGAGAAGCCCAACTTGGGAGCTTCTTTTCGGAGTTCCTTTTCGTCCCACCGGCCTGCCCAGTCCTGGGCAGTGACAAATCCTTGTTTCCCCATGACAAAGAGGACTAGCCACGGGACTTGATGCCGAGCCAGGACCAGGCGGACGCTCTCCTCGATCTTCATGACCTCTTCCTTGGAAGGGTCCGGGCACAGCTCCGGGGGGCGTGCCAGGGTCTGCCTGGCGTCGATTTCTCCATCGGTCCAGGCGGTGGGAGCCCAGGCTTGTACCTGAAAACAGGAGAGGGCGGGCGGGCAAGAAAAAGACACCACGGGAACAACAACCCCGCGTCACCGAGACCCGTCGTGAGTCTGACCCAAAATGGCAGCCGGCCCGAGCAAGATGAAGAAGAAAGGCTGCTGGCGTGGCCCTATGACATGCGAGTTGATCAGTGCAAGCACGGATTCCTCTACAAGTCACAGTGCAGCCACAAGCCCTAAGTAATGCACACGCACTTTTACCCCGAATCCGACGAGGTCCGAGAAGTGGCAGATCAGATCAAAACTCCGAAGGACCCGAGGCAGGCATAGCTCAGACAGGTCCGAAGACCGGTCGGAAATACGCCAAGTCCGCAGGGCTAATGCCTGCCACCTCCGAAGGGGCCCGAGGACTTAACACGTGGAAAGAACCGGCAACCCGAAAACACCAAAACCCCCACCCCCACGGCCAGGGGATCGGCACCTGTCGCAACCGCCCGTAAGGGGCAAGGACCGAGATGATCTTGTCCGCCCACTTCTTCTTTGCTGCCCTGTCCAAAGCCAGCTGTTTGACCGGGCCTTCCATCAAAGAGGGTCTGGGTGCCCAGTGCTCCCACGACCTTTTTCGGCTAAGGCGTTCCATTGGGAGGGACCTCCCAAAAGCCTTGTCTGCCAGGAGCTGACCAACAGGAGAGAGAGATGTCCAGGAAGGGCAGCCCGACGCCGCCAGCTGGAGCCTTGTGACAGCCTCCAAGAAGTTCTCCTCAAGCTTTTGAATCCTATTTTTCGGGGAGCGTCTGAAGCCAGGTTGCCTTAACGCCAGCCACCGCGTCCGGGTCCTTGGCAGCAACATCACACTCCACCGGGTGTGGGCCCAGGCCCATGTCCTTCAAAGTGACCTCCAACCCTGGGAGGGTCTGCTTGAGCACCCGGGAGTAAGCGTGTTCCATACAGGAGACGTGGGAGGTGGCCCCCCCCAACGGCACTTGAAGCAACGGAGCGAGGACCAACCTCCCTTTTGTCCCTAACAAGGAGCCAAGCGCCCAGGGAAAGTACCAGGCAGAGCCACCAAGTGATCCGGATGGAGACTGCCTAGGCCTCCGGGTCTGGCTCTTGCCCATCCTGGGATTGCCTCCGGGCAGCCGCCGTCAGGTTCTCGCACCGGTCACACCAACTCGTGGCCATCTCTCCACACCAACCGCAGGGATCACAGACAAGGAAGGTGCCACCTTGCCGGATGCCGCCCTGTCGCCAGCGTTGGACCGTATACCCAGCCCTGAGGCCAGCGTTGTTCTGGCGAGTGTCAGGGGGGGAGCGTGAGGAGGAAGGACCAATCCACTTGGTCTGCCACCGGTCTGCCAGAACCTTCCACCAGGAGGTCCCTGGCCCTCGGCTGCATGGAATCGTTCCCAAATAGCCTCTGTGAGGATGACCAACTCGAGGTGCCGCGTGTCCACGACCTGGTCAGCATTCATAAGTGAGGCCCTACGGCTCCTTGGCACGCTCTATGCATGGGAACAAAAACTGGAACGCAGGTGCAAGCCGGGAGACCTTGTACGTTTCCTGGCTACTCTGCTCCTCTCAATCCTGGATGCTGGTCCCTGCGTTCCTCTCCGTCTACAGCGCAACACTCCATGCTATGGGAGTAGTGATGCCGGCGAGGACGATGGCCGGGTCGCCATTGGTGGCTGGTTCTCGCCCTCTCTGAACCCGGCTAAGGCGGAGGTCCTGTGGTTCTCCATGGACGTCCTTGCCACGCCATGGGCGCAGCCCCTCCTGGCGCACACTTCTGCTAAGCGCCGGATTGGGGCCCTTGAACTCCTGGGTACCCTCATTCTTTTCCTTCTGGCTGCGGAGTCCCTGGGACCCAGCATGGTCGATCCGCACCTCCCTCTCACTACGGATAATGAGGGCAACGCCTTTTCTGCCAGCAAGAGATCTTCGAAGAAGTGGCCTTGCTCGGCACTTTTGATGGAGCTCTCAGCACAGGAGTTCCACAAGGGTGTCTTTGCTCAGGTCACCCATGTCAAGCGGAGCTCAAACACGTGGGCAGATCAGCTCACACACTTTGATTTCGAAGGATTCTCCCCCGAAAAGAGGCGGGACGTCTCCTTGTCCTGGACTCCGAGCTGGATGATCCTGGATAAGCTCCTTGCTTTTAAATCGGATCAATAGTTCCCGGGCTCTCTCTTTTAGCCCTGATTTGAAACAGGACACGAGTGCCAGGTACGGTTGCCTCAGGTGCCGATTACCGGCACTTTGTGACTGTAGGTTTCGGCGGGACCTTTTCACTCTCGGGCTCCCGGGTCGGCTGTTTTCTCTCGGATCGGATTGGGGGGTTGTGAAACCCCTCGTTTGATCAAGCCGAGGAGGGGTGGCGTATTTCCGACCGGTCTTCGGACCTGTCTGAGCTATGCCTGCCTCGGGTCCCTCGGAGTTTTGATCTGATCTGCCACTTCTCGGACCTCGTCGGATTCGGGGTAAAAGTGCGTGTGCATTACTTAGGGCTTGTGGCTGCACTGTGACTTGTCTTCATTATCTTGCCATATCTTGCCTCTGCCGTCTTCTGAACTCACTTTGTAAAGCCTCCCAGTTTACAACCTCCTTCTGTTTCTTTATCCGGCTTGTTTCCTGACACGCCCCGCATCGCGCAGCGACAAGTTGCTTGCTGATGCGAGGGCTGCTTCTAAATGCCCCAGATATGTATCGAAAGGTCCATCAGGGCTAGGATAATCAGAAGCCCCTGGCTTTGTGAGCACGTCCTCAGCAAAACAGATTCAGCTTTTGGTCTCTCAGCGAGGCAGCCCGTCTAAAGCGAGAGCGTGGACATGCTGCAGTCCTGGAGCCTGCAGCTACTCATGTGTGTTCCGTGTTCCAGGCACAGGCAGAGGTGAGTGGCAAAGATCTGTCCGTCCGAAGGAGCTCTTCTCTGGCTCTGGTATGCGCTCGGCACGCTACCTCTTGGAAGGCGCTCTGCGGATGCTTTCTGCCTGACTGTTCGTGCACCTGCTTTCGTTACGTGCAGGTGGAGCCGACTTCGTCTGGGCAAACGATGCGAATCAGGATTAGAGTCCGAGCGAGCTGATTCTTCCATGTCATTGGCTTGATCGGCATACGGCTGTGCAGGGAACCCATGTTTTTCTTTTTGCTGTTTGTTGCTGCCGTTTTTTTTTTGCTGTCGTTGCGCGGGCGCGTTTTTTTGTGCTGTCGTTGCGGTCCCCGGCGCACGTATTCATTTTTTGCTGTCGTTGCGGGGCGCTGTTTTGTTTCGCTGTCGTTGCGGGGGCGCGTTTTTTTGCTGTCGTTGCGGTCACTGGCGGTTTTCTTGCTGAAGCACAGCGACAGCACAACAAAAAACGCGCCGGGAACCGCAATGATTCAATGACAGCCCAAAAAATCGCACCCCGCAACGACAGCAAAAAAGCAACGACAGCACAAACAAGAACACTCTTTCCGGCTGTGCAGCGTAGATGGAAGTTTGACAAGCGTCTAGGCTCTAGACTCGATCACGTCAGTGAGTGCTCGCAATGTTGCTGTGAATGGCGTAGGTGGGGTTCGATTTGCGAGAAGCGTCGAGGAGCATGAATCTCATGATGCCTTTTCCTTCTCCTCCTCCTCGTGCCCACCGCCGCCCTTACGTCTCGTTATCATTTTCGCTTCTTCTCCCCCCTTCCCTCTCCCCCTCCCCCTCCCCCTCCCCCTCCTCCTCCTCCTCCTCCTCCTCCTCTAGGTTATTCCTTATCCCTGTGTTGCAGAAAATTAGGCTGGGGCGGCGCGACATTGAATTGCCAAGGAAGATTCCCTGCATGTCGCGGAGTTTCCATATGCTCAGTTCAGGGCTGCGGTGAGCAGAAATTTGGCTAGACTAGCGAAACTCGTCCCCCGACTTGCACACAGATCTGGGGTCGTGAGATCCTGGTAGCTTAGGCAAGCAGTTGTCAGGGTGCGCGCAACTGCGCAACCACTGCCAAATCTTCAACGTTTCGCGCCACAGCCTGTGCAGTCTTTTCCCGATAGCCGGTCGTGTTTTCATACAGAGGCCCTACTATAGTGATTCGTGCTTGTCCACAAGGAGCTGTTCGAGACACTGTTGGCCAACTTGCAACAGGCTTGGGCTAGAAGTTGCTACTGTTCTCTTCATGTCAAATGCGCCAGGCCGCCTCTGCAGCAGGGCAGATGTCGCAGGATACACGAAAAGAGGAGACGGCGATGTTTCAACACGGACCGTGCGAGGACTACCCTTGCTCCGACCTGCTGCCTGAGTGGGCCGCTCCGCACAGCTGGCGGCTGCAGGCTTGGACAAGGGCGGATTCCTTTCTTTGCAGTGCTTTCGGCGGAAGCGGCGGCTTCAGGAGGGACTGCCGCTCCACGGCAGAGAGGCCGGCCGGCATCCAGGATGGCGGCATCGTTCGTGCCCGGGCAAGCAGCTATGCGGCTACGCTTTGCACGCGTGCCCCTGCTTGAGAGGCAGTTCCAGTTCGCCTTGTCTCAGGAGTGCAGACAAAGATTCTAGCACTTCTGCACAGGGCTGGCGGGTGACCCACTGGGAGTCGAAGTCTTTGCTTGGCTCCTGGTTTGCAAGCGTGACCGTTTCTACATAGCAGGTTTTCGAGAGGCCCCGAGAGCGACGCCTCAGGATACTGCCAAGCAGTGAATCGGCAGTTTGACTTTGTGGACGTGGATGCTTCTGGCTGTTGGTCTCACATTGGTGCAACACTGGAGCTTGTACGACCAGGCAAAGAGAGCCCGGCATAGCCTCACTCGGACTCCGAGCCGCTCCATCGCCCTGAACGGTGCAAATCATACATGGCACCCCATGATGATATGTTCGCGCAATCGCTTCAGGCGGGTTGCTGTACCTGGCAGCGACTGGTCTGACATCAAGCAAACCTTCGCTGGCTTTTCAGAGCTTGGGCGTGCGGCTGGCTAGGTGTCCGTCGCATGCTCAGCATTTCCGATTTCCACGGTTCCGGGTGATGCCTCTGCGCCCTAGATCGGCTTCACAGGCAGTGGAGGCAAGCGAAGTATTGAGGGCGGGTGCTCAAATGAGGCCCACAGAAACTCTCCACGACCACATGGCAAGAGCCTTGATTTGGCGAGCCTCGGCCGGCTAGGACACGTGCTATGGCTGTGCGTTCCCATCTGCACCTGGGACTTCAAAATGATTTTGTTCAAGTCAGGAATGGTGTCGGCTGCAGACAGCCTCGGGCTGATTGCACAACCACTTTTCAGTCTCTATCGCGGGGCCGGTCGCTTGGCTAAGCTCTGCACGAGCTTCATCTCATCTCACAGTCTCCGATTCACCGCGGACCTTGTGCTCACGGTTGATTCACAGTACCTGCCAGGAGACGTCTTCCGGATTCTGCTCCGCGTGGTCCGGAGATCCGGCGAGAGCAGCTTGTTCTGACATTGCAGTGGAGCCCGGGTAGACTTGGGGTTTCAATGCTATTTGTCTATGTCAGCGCGGGTTTGTTCCGGGCTCTTCTGCGGCACTTGGAATTGCACAAGCCTTGAGGCACCTTGAAAGCGTTCTGCTGCGGAGTCTGCTGCGACTGCAACGTCTACGTGGGGCCGTTAGAAGACGAGAGTCTCTTTGGCAGCTTGGCCGAAACTCCTCTGCTTGGACGTGCGGCGCTGGATTTGGGTTTGTGAGCTGAAGGCGCACGCCACGCTCGACCTAGATGCCGTAATTGCCACTCCAGCGATTTTGTGTCTTGCCCTGAAAGACCGTCTGCCAGACCAGGTTATGTGCCGGAGTAAGTGACTGAGATGATAAGCCCATGAGACTATCTGTGATCAAACGCAGCAAGGTCTGCTGGGGTCCATTGTGGACAGGCAGCTTGAATTCAGATACTTGGCCTCAACGTGCACAATTTCGTGAGTGACTTTGTCACATCGTCACATATCCTGCATCGCCAGGTGGTCGCGCGCTCTTTGCATGCTAGGAGTTTCCGAAGCAACGGTCCTCAAGCGTTAGATGTGCGACACATCTGCTGGCAAGGGCTGCTAGAAGAGCTGGACTCTGCCAGACTCTGCTAGACTGCGGGCGGATCCAGCATGTACTGTCTTTTTACCGAGGACCCGTTTCTTGCCCAGCTCCAGGCGGATGCAGCTCTTCGAGGATGGCTGCAGGACGGTGCAGTGCATTACTTTAGTAGATTCAAACCTTCCGCCGAGTCTGTGTGGAAGAAGGAGCCTCTCAGCGAAGGCTGCCGGGCCGGTAGTGTGCTGAGCAGCGCTTTCAAGAAACTACCGAGCTTACTCGAGGTTCTCGAGTCCGTCAAGGACATCCGTCTTAGATATGCCGTACTCGTGACATGCCATGTCTCTGTTTTGCACTGTGCGTCGTATTGTCGTGTGCTTCTCTTGTCATGCGCCTGTGCATCTTCGCGAGGGAGACCATACGCTTCGCCCGGAGCATGCCCTGTGTGAGGGGAGCAGCCACGATCAACTCTCCCCAATCTGCTTGACAGTGCCGACGAATGACACCAGGCTGCGCGTCTCCCATAGGTCTCTCTCTGACTGGACGTCTGTGGGTCACCCGTGATCGAAACTGAACCGTTGGTGTCCGTCGGTCGAAGGCATGCATGCGGTTCTCTAATGTTCAAGAAGAGCCGCACCTGCAAACACAGCCCGTGCTTCCCAATAGCGAAGCACAGAGAACACTCCGGCGTGTGGCACGGCTAAACGAGGACGTTGAAGAAACACGGAGATGCCAGACATGACTGCCGGTGCCATTCCAATTGTGGCCATGTGCCTGCGTGATAGCCGGCATGCAAATTGAGCTGCGAATTTGCTGAGCGGTCTCTGCAACCACCACGCATGTTGCTCCCCATGTTTACAGGGCCGGCACCGCTGGATAAACTGATATGAACAGCCGGTGTCTGGTAGAAGATTGCTATGCAGGTTTTGCGGGCCGGTCTGCCAAAGTTTTTTAAACCAGAATCCGGATGCAATCTGTCCGGATTATTAGATGCAACGAACCAATCAGCAAAACATAGCAAAACGTGTGTGCGCAGCCTGCATTGTATTGATGTCAGGTGGTCGCATGTCGCCGCTGGCAGAGCTGCTTCCAAGGCAGCACTAGTCACGAACTGAGATTGCAGAGCTTCATTGCATCTGGCACGGCTTGAGAGGCTTCGGGCAGAGGCTTCTGCCGAGGCGGCTGCGGAGGCTGGCTGGCAAGGTCGGTATCCACAGAAGTAGCGGGAGAGCTTTGCAGGCAAGCGGGGCAATGCTCCGACCTTGGACCCTGCGACTACCTGCAGTGGCACAGCGGGGAGGCAAACTGACATCCGGTGAAGAGCCGCAGCCGCTGTGGTTGCTTGCGCCTGGCGCAGCGTCTCTTTCTGCCAGGCTGCGTGCCACCCCAGCTTGGACAGCTGTTGGAGGCCGCAATTTTTTGTCAACCAGACTCTGCAGTTTGTCCTTGAGACTGACAAGGAGCTGAGTGCGGCGGGGCACACAGCTTGCCGCTCTTCGCTTGGTCCAGCAGCTCGGCTTGCAATTGCGGCGGGAACTTGGGCAAACATTGGCGAAGATCGCGCGAGTTTCCGGAAGCGGTGGCATCGGCCAGCTGAGGAACACTTCAGAACATCTGCAGATGTGTCAGAAGTGGTCACGATCGCCCAAAATCTGAGCCTCAACCGAAGGCCAAAAAGAGCTCAAAAACTCGTGGTACCTCGGTCGGGCGAAAAACAACTGCAGCTACCTTTGCTTGTTTGCTTGGCATGACCCGCAGAGTTCAGCAGCGTGCCGCGCAGCACGATCCATGGCATCCTGGAAGAAGTGTTCAAAAAATCGCTGAGTACTTTATGATGTGCACTTGACAAGGAATGGCCTCAATTGTTCAAGCCTGAAGAAGTGCTTGATTGGGGTTGTATCACTTCTGCTGCAAGGTGTGCAGTGGCTGCAATGCAAGCGGCTTTAGAGGCACAGCTGTGGGACCTGGAGCTGTGTGCAGCCTTCCTGCACGGTCCGGCACAAAGCCCCTCTTAGTTCATTGTCATTTAACATACCTCCACGGCCCTCGCGGCCGTTTTGCTTCCCGGTCAACCTAGTTAACATTGGTTAGCAGTTTTAGAACGGGACACCTGCAGAAGTATGGCGCGAAGCCGTCAGTGCCGGAGACTGAGCTGCGTGTGGGCATAGTGCCAGCACTGTACTCGTCGGCTGGTGGCAGAGGACGTAGGTTCAGGACTTGCTCAAGTCGTTTGTCTGCTGGCAATCACAACCGAGCGGAGACTTAGCACATGCGAATTCAGTGCATTCAGATGTGTGCACTCGTTTTCAGGCCTGTGCTTTCTCCTGGTGCTTCAGCGCCTTACAGAGCCTCGGGCAACGACTAAGATTGCATATTTCGTGAGGGTGTCCAGGAGTCCTCCATTCGCTTTCATCGAAGGGGTTCATTGTAAAGCGGAGAATCCAAACAACCGACGCGTTGCTGAATTGCGTGTCCTTACACGGCCTTTTCGCTTGTGCTGGCTCCAAGGAGACAATCTCGATCCCCTCCAACAGCTCAGAACACGTCGAGGAGCTACCTGCTTTGTTTGTGGTGATGTGTTTTTCGAGCCTTTCTTCATGTCCAAATTCCCTGTGTTTGCGGCGTGGAGGGCTTGGAGAATCCGAAGTCGAAACGGTTGTGTGTGCGGTCATGGTATGGGTCACAGCTCGGCAGCTCGGCAGGCCGTGCTTCCAGCACCCCCTCGTCTTGCCAGCTTGGCAGAGACCGCGAAAGAGATTGAGAGAATCAAGCAGGTGCGGCGTCGGTGTTGCTGTCTTGATTCTCTGGGTGTTGTTTGCATGCGAAGCCAGAAAATCCATGGCGACTACGTCACCTACATCAACGGGAGGAAGGCCTGCATGCATTCTGCATTTTAGTTCCCCAAGTCATCTGCGCTGGTAACAGGTTGTCGTCATGGGCGATTCCAGAAAGGTGCGGTTCAAAATGCGTGGCGACACTGTGAGCGTAAGCAATGCTCAGGCTGACATTGCCATGTGTGTCTTCAGCTCCCTCCTGGCCACTCATCAACTGGCATCAGTCTTCAGCTCAGTCAAACCAAGCGTGCTGCACTTGCCACCTTACAGGTTTGTGGTTTTGGGAATTTACAGCTGCGCATGGACATGGTATTGCTCATCTTGGGACTTTCACTCTTTAAGCGGTCGCTTCTTCAAGCAATGCTTGCGCGAGATTCAGTTGCTGCACACTCCACTTCGAGGCCGGCATGTCCATCAACGGAGCCGTGGCCACCTGTGGCTGGGGCGCCGCTCGGGAAAGCAACAGTCACAATACCCGAGCCCCCAGCCTTTCGCCTCGGATGTGCTTGACAGAACTCGTACTGGGGTGCGGGTGACGTCCTGCGGAGCCAGCGTGAAATCAGATGCAAAGCTCCCGCGAAAAGGGAGGCCCATAGCAATGCAAAGCGCAGTCCCTAGAATGGTGAACATACTTGTTGACGCCGGGAGCTCAAAGTACTATTCTGCTCTGCTATCATCGGCTGTCCAGATTCCTCGGGTTGGGAACCTTGCTCTCCATCAACAAAATGGTGAATCCTCCAGTGGAATTCCCAATGCCTTTGCCTTTCAAGACGAAGTTCGGGGGAGGTCCCAAGGAGAGTGAACTGGGGTAACCTGCTGCGATGAAGCCAGACTCCAGCGTTTGCTCGCGACGGCTCAGCCGAGCCACGTCTAGGAGACACCGCATTCGAAGGATGTCTGTACCTGACACCAAGGGCATGGAGGAGAAGACCGAGGCTGAATGGCACGCTTCTTTGGAGTCGATGCAACTATTCAACGGCTTGTAGGACTCATAGGACTTTCATTCGCAGTCGCCTTCGTAGCTTCGACAGGCTTGCGTGGCGAACATCGGCAACACTTTGGCGACGCTGTCCGGGACTGCCGCTTTTCTCACCGAGGTGCTGAAGAAACAGCTTGAGAAGAATTTCTTGGCAAGAGGAAAACTGTTCTTTCACTATTTTCATCTCAAGTCATGCCAACTGCATTCTCACCATGGCAGTTGGCGTTGAATTGTCCCACCGACAATGTGGACTGGCCGCTCGGTCTTTCCAAGAGGATTCAAGCACTCCTGCTTGTGATTCGAACGCAACGCGACATAAACTGCATTTCCAGGCTTCGGTTGGGCCAGTCGCAAACACGCCATGAGCATAGATAAACATGCGCATGTGTTGGACAGAGGCGAGCCGGGTGTGCGGCTCCGATCGCCACTCTTCTCAGTGGCCTGCCGAGTCCTCAACGACTCGGCCGTTGATTAGAATCAGAGTTGTGAGCCAAGCAATTGGGATTACCCCACGCGCTCGAGACTCCGTCAGCACATTTAGCTGCCGTGCAGAGGGGTGGCCTCGTTGGCCACTCTTCCGGCGTTTCGCAAGCCTGCGATGCGGCCTGTCACTCAGACAGGTGATAGGCGAGGGCAAGATCTTGTGTGGAGAGTTGGCAAATCAGGTGTGTCATGAGCAGAAAGTTTCTCCGTTTCGACTGTGAGGAAAAGATTGATAATGGTGCGACCATCTTCAATCCCGTCAGCGTGGACGATGAGTCAGGTCTCGGCCGTGGTCATTGCAATGATTCAGTGGCCTTTATCTTTCACCTACCATGGAAAGCTGTATGTGTTAGCGGTTGTGCTTTGGCTTCCCCGAAGGAATGGCGAACTGCATTCTGAACGCTGATCAGGCTAGCCGTGACGGTGAAGCCGGGCGTTGCTAAGACTGTACTTGGTGTTTGTGCAGACGAACCTTGTAAAGCTCCACCTTCGGCAAAGAGTCGTGAAAGGTTGGACGGAGCATTATCAATCAATGACCATCCGCCGAACGATTTCCCTTGTTAAGAGTATCTCCTGCTTTGACAGAGCAGCAGAGCGGAGGAAGTCCCACAAGTCACAAAACTGGACAAACACCCAACTAGGAGCCACAAGCGGCCTGGAAAATACACAAATTCAGCGGTCCGCATTGGAGGCAGCATTCTTCGCCGGTAGAGCTGGTCTCAACGTGAATGCCTTGGCGAATGGGGACTGCTCCGGGCAGAACTCAAAGGCGGTCGCTTGGCTGTACTCAAAATCAACACGCCGTTGCCTGCTATCCACCCAATGCAAGACTTGCAGCTGGCTTCAAGGTTTGCCGGATCCCTTGATACAGTCGTTTGGACCTTTGCAAAAGCTTTCGATATTAGATTCCAGATCCTTTGCACGATCGTTGTGGAAGCAAAAACGATTGCAACAAGCCTTCTGCTAAATTCACGGATGCACCAACGAGTGACGTACATAACTTCTGCTTCAGGTCGCTGTCTGCACTCTCCATTGCTTCTTTTATCGCAGGTCCTGTGTAAATTTCAATTCTGCCTTTCAAGACTCGCTTTTATTCCTTGTCTGATGTACTCTGTCATTTCAGCCAGGATGGCCGCACCCTCCAGTATTTATGCAAGTAAAAGAACTGTGTTGTGATGCTTGCATGCTTGCACTGTTGCCAAGTGGTAGCTTTCTTAACTGCCGACCTAGTGGGGCAGTGTGGAAAGTTGCAAAGGAGTTGCAGCACGTTCGCCGGAATTCGTTTGCAGTAGCAGGGCAGCACAAACCTGCGACCAGTAGCAACAAAACACGGGTGCTTCCAAGGGATGTTCGGCGAGCGTCACTGGTGCATTGACCTCCTTCGCGTCGATGGCGTGTCTGAGCTCTAATGGATAGGCTTCCGGAAGAAGGGGCAGCCGGGCAGCCCTGTAAGCGTGACGTCTCAAGAGTTGGATTCCGCGCTGTTCCATGCTTCGCAATCGTAATCTGTAATGCGGAGACCACGGCTCTTCATCAGGTCCTTTCTTGCTGGTGCGGTTTCGAAGTGTACGATGTACAAGATCTACTCACCTGCCTGCGCAGCAAACATCGCTGGCCACATCCTTGGATCTTGCCGGAAGGAGCTGTTGGTAAGCCGTGGTCTATCGAGGCCTCGTCGCAGATCTCAACAAAGTTGCCAACTTTGCCAGTGCCGATCCCTCAGGTTTCTAACGTCTGGTAGGCTGAAGCAAAGATTCTGATGACATTCAGTGTCCAATGGGCCGAAGATCGAAGCTTTTGTCATTTTGGGGCAGTTTGAGGACATGGCCAACAACAAATGCAAAGCTCCCAAGGGCGATTACTTTGCCCCTTGGCCGTCAGTAAGTGGGACTTCTTGGCACATGTACTTACCATGCTCGGCTAGTTTCATGTTTTGAGTGCCTGCAGTCTCCGAACACGATCTACTGGAACCCCACCGGCTCCATTCGACGCCTTGGTGACAATGCGACTCGGTGCAGTTTAGCCGAGCTGCGCAAGTGCCAGCACAACTCACAAGAACTCACTTTTGGGATGAGCACACTGAGGTTTCCTTTGTTGATGAGAGCGTGACTGAGCAGCCACTCCACGTTTGAACCACTCAAGCGCTGTCACAGACTTTGACAGATAATCTTGTTGGAACCCAATCGGTGGTCCCTAGTTTCGCCGGTGCTGACAACTTTCTGCTCCCTATCCGAAAACGTGTCTCGCATGTGTTCCATGCTGCCACGTACGTCGTGGCTGGGAGTTAGTTACTCGCCAGGGCCACAACCCATACAAGGATGGTACTTAGAGATTGCCAGCGGCACCTTGCCATGCACAAGTTATAGTATCTTGCTGAAGAGTCTCCAGAGCAATCAGCCTTTCGGAAGGCTCCAGCGTAGTTCAAGATTTTGGAATGCAAGGTTTTAATTCTTATCGGAGCCAGAGTGAAACTCTTGACTCCAGTGTGCTCCCAGACCGCGGGCTTTGTTTTCTGAAGTGGACAGCTGTGAAGACTAGTTCGCTTGCCAAGTTCCTTGCGTTGCCAAGTTATGGTTGTGGACCCTGAGCCCAGGGACGCTGCGAGTGCACAAGCGCCTTCGTTTTTGTGCTTTATGAGCATCAAGTCATCCTGCGGCCATGTTGTGATACGTCACTCCCAAGGACGCTTCTCGATCGCAACAATGGCTGCGTGTTGTTGAAAATGCGAGAACCCACAGCAGGCCCTGGAACGACATGTGGCTTCACTGCCCCTTTCCCAGCGGCATGGTAGGTCTCCCGCAATGTGCGGAATTGCTCGGGAGATTTTGCAGTCTGCTTGGCAGCTCTTGCATGGCAAAGCCCTGCTTCTGCAATTGGGAGCCCAGACGCCATTAGACGTCTCTGCGCTATGGCCTTTCGCAAAAAGCATCCAGGTCGTGGATGCGGGATGCCACACTCGTCTGATACTTTTTCGTCTGTCGAGTCCGGCCGTGCAGGGCAATGAGGACGAGGGTGTGTGGCCAGCGAATCCATGGCAAGCGCAGGCCGGGGGTCTTAAAAAGTCGCGTTTGAGATGTACGACGTTTGGTGACGTGTTGTGCATGGACAGCCTGGAGCACTTTCATTCACAAGACATGTCAGTGCATCTGCATGGAAGCTATGGAGGCAGATGCTCACCTTCTTCATCTGCAACGTTCACTCCAGGATCTGCCGGCCATTGACCCGCGACCCAGTTCCAATCAGTGCGTGAAGCTTGATAACCTCTGGGTTGAAGCAACCTGCGCATGAAGGCATTGAGTAGGACAGTGCGCGGTAACCGAGGACATGCACAGCTCATGAGAACGGAACTGATTTGCGTGTCTTCATGTAAGGGGGCCGAAGTGCGGGACAGTGCTTCCAAACATTCATGTGCAGAAGGTTGTTCTCTCCATGCCTTTGTTCTTGATTCATCTACACTCCAGCCACATCTGTCATTATCGGTGGTTTCGCCCATGTTGAGAGTGAGAAGTGGGCCAGGCATCCTTGCAGGTCTCCTGCATTATAATCATTCAGCGGGAGCAGCCACCCCCCACCCCAACGAGGGAGTGGCAGTTCTTTGTGACCTTGGCAGTGCAGAGTCGGTGCAACCTTATGGAAGCCGGCCTGAAGCATGTCGGCGAACGCCATCAATGTACGTTAAAGTAATGAAGTGCCACCAGGACACCAGGGAGCACTCTATCAGTATGGACAGTGCCACACTTTCGTTGGCACCGTTACATTACACGGAGGGCACACCGTGTAGTGCTGCCACATCGCAGGGATGGCCTTTCATTGGCCATGGCTGGAGGTGGCCTCTGGGAACATGGCAGTAGTGTGAGAGTCTTTGCTTCGTGCCGGCGTCCCTTGCTTAGTACCCCCCTGAGAGATCGTGTCGGGAACCGCTTTGGGTCTGTGAAGTGGGCTGTCTTGCCAAGTGTGCCTCCAACCCTCGCTAGCTTGCCCCTGCTGGCTTGGGGGCGCGGGCCCATGGAGATTAAGCTAATGCCGGTTGCTCGCTATGCCTTGCGTAGGGCCATGACGTTTTCGGAGCCCTACGGCCTGTTTGCGTCTTAACCCTTCACGGGGTGGAGACAACGCTTGTGCCCGTCCTTCTGCCAAGGGGCGACTCTCACTCACTCACTCACTCACTTCCTCACTCACTCACACACACTATGATAACGAGACCCCATGCCTGCGGCGACAGAAGCCGCAGTCTAAACTGTGAAGTGTTCACTTGCAGTATAGTCTCTTCGACCACGGCGTGCTGGTGGAGCTGATGTCGGATTCGAGCCAAGCCGTCAAGCTCCGCTAACTTGTGTGGATGCCTCTTAAAAACTTAGCGTTTCGCGAGTCGTCCACCTCGATCCCAAGCTTTTGTTTCTATGGTGGATTTCCAGGAAGTCCATGGTGGCATTTTTCAGACGTTTGTTCGATTTCGCGGCGGCAAGTCCATATCACGAATGTCCCGGGCTGCCCAGCCGCGCAGGAAGTGGCAGGTCCAGCCTTGCTCTTGCCCTGTGGCGTGCCTACGTGCGGAAGCTTCTTGGAAGTCAGTTAAATTTAAATGGTAAACAGCACAAATTTGCGAAGAGACTGTAGCTGAAGGCTGAAGTGTCGAAAGCTGAAGCCCAGGTGCTGGATTTATCCTTGCACCTCCTTTTGAGTCCTCGCAGACCCAGTCTCCATTCTCGCACGGGGATCGTTCAGGCTGGAGATTTCGGAGAGCCCTAAGCCTAAGCCGACTCGTCCATCTTCTGGTGGGCCAGGATTGCTTCGTCGAGTCCATGAACTGGAAGGACAAGTCGCGAGCATGGAGGCTGACAGGTTTTGTTGCCGACTGCCCGTTCTGTGCTTTGGCCACTTCACTCAGCGTCTTGTCGCCCACGTCGTCTAGCAACTTTCAAACGCTGGATAGCTTTTTTCTGGCTCCCATAGGAAACGTGTGAGTGTATTCGCACGTTTTGTCACGGTATATGTATACTGGCCATGAAGCAGAGACTCAGTGGTGCATTTGTTCTCTCGTCGATACTTCAACAATGCTGGAGGCCTCTAGGACTAGGATTTCCCTGTGGCGGAGGGCATGGCAATATGCCTGTGCAAGGCGTGCAAGAGCATTGATGGTGTCCGCCCTCTTTTGCGGGCAAACGCAAGAGTTCCATTGGCGTTATGCTTTGCCCATCAACAGTATAAAAGACCAAGCTTCAGCCCGACAAAACCTCGGAAGCTTCTCTTGCACTTTGATGATCTTCGCCATTCAGGTGGGTGGATCAAGGTGGTGAGGGGTAGGTGGGGGAAATTGTGACGAGAACGAGGACAGCGAGGGGCGGGCAAGTCTTTCAACTTTTCCTCACCTCTCATCTTTCCTCTTGGTATCTCTTCTCCTTGCTCGGCGAGGTGGCGGCTGCAGCTCAAGGGCGGGACCTTGACGAGGCAGAGCAGAGCGCAGTTTAGTGCGACATAGTGCGACGCGTTCGTCCCTGTGCGTGAGAGGCTCGGACTGAGCTCGAAGCGTTGCGGAGGCGGCTTCTGCCAGTCGGGTGGCCACCATCATTTACCTCTCGCTAAACTCGAAGACAGGAAGCCCATCAGCAAAGCCGCAGATGACACTGCGCTGTGCGCACGGCTCTTGGAACTTTTGCAAACAGTTTTTCTGGCATGCTCTGCACTCACCTGTTGTTACAATCACACAGCGGCTGCTGCATGCACCACAGCTGTTGTCAGCCAGGCCCTGCAGGAGAAGAATGACTTCTTGCAGGCAGGCTTTTGTGTGTCGGTGAGCATCTGCAGAACCACACTGCTGGGAGTGGAAGGGGCCGAGTTGACTGCTTGTCTTGCAGTTCAGGTTCTGGTTGGCCGCTTCGAGTCTGGGGCCTGAGACGGTTCCGACCCATACAAGAGCTAGGGGGCTTATGTCTTGCCTGGAAAGTGTGTCGTCCGGAGCATCAAGAAGACTCTCTGGGCCCAGCCTGGAGCATCCAGCTTCGACAAGAGGTTCTACGATTCCACGACCTGGCCTGTCCTTTGTCCGAGGCGCAAGGTCATGACTCTAGAGGAGGAGAATGCTGGTCTGACAGTCGCCTGCGACCTACCACTCGGTCTGGGTGCTTCTCGCAATCGCGAGTGGAATTTGGGAGGGTTTTTGAGAGGACGGAAATGGGAGGGGTTCTGTACAAGGCACTTATCAATTGTGCGTCTCCGTCGAGTTGTTCTTGCCATTGGGTCGGAAGGTCAGGTCTTGCAAGGTCCTGTGCTGAGGTTCTCTGTGCGATTCGTGGTTCAATCTTTGTCCTGGGCCACCAGGGAACTCTGCAGTACATAATAGTCTGGTTGGTATGAACGCAAGCAAACATACTAGCGTAGAAAGACTATGGTTATCAAGCCAGTGAGTACTGTACTTGAAGTAGCTCCGAGGGATTGGAAGTTGCAGGCTTTGGGGAAGCAGCAGACCTCTTCCGCTTCGATTGCATTGCAGACAGAGGCCGGGACTGTTCCTTGAGTTCGATCGGTCGCACTATCCCGTCGCAATCTCTGAATTGAACTGAAGTTCTGGGGTTCGCTATTCCGACTGTTCATGTGTAGAAGTGTAAGTGTCTGTTTGCTCTACCAAGCAGTGAGTTCGGATCGGAACAGGGGCTTCGAGCTAGGTGTGGGGTCATTCGGTTGTGTTTGATACAAAACAGGATTCTCGCTACATGCCAGGTGTTTGCGAGTGTGGTGGTCGTAGTTGGCTTGCACACGCACTAGGATGGAATCGTCGACGAGCTCGAAGGCCAAGTGGAGCTGCTGGAGCAGCAGCTGCGCAGCAAGGACTTGCACGCTGGGCAGTGTCTTCTCTTTCCTTTCCCTGAGGTCCCTTGCTTGCACTTTTCCTTTTTGACCCCGAAAATCTGGTAAGCCCAACGACTGCCACGTAGGTGAGACCAAGCATGCAGTCCCAAAGTCAACGGGCTGAATCGGCACGGCCAGTGCCGGCTTGCAGCCAAGATGATGCGAGTACAGAATCGGAGGCCTGGGACCCTACTTGCCGGCCTCCCGCTTGGCTCGCAGAATGCGCACATCTCGTTGCATTGAATATTCAGTTTTCCGCGCTCTAGCATCAGACCACCGAGTGGACAACAGAGGCTGCCGAACTACTGACCCCATCCATCTGATCCACACAAACATTGCTAGCATAAGCTCAAAAAAGGTCGCGACCAAACTCAGCCTCCAACATGGGCAAGGTGAGATGGGATCTCGCCTGCATAGCCCACAACCATCGATGACACAAGGCTTCAGGCATTTCGCACCAAAGAAAGAGATTCGAAACGTCAGGTAGCAGGAGAAACATATTGGGCATTCGTGTGTCGCAACAATGACACAGTTGCATAAAGTTCAGCTAACGACTGCCGGCTTATGCTCTGCAAGCCAGCCAATCTCCTCCAAGCGATCCGTTCCTGGTCGTACTCAGCATTTTGCAGCAACAGCAGAGACGCCCCAGCTGCAACGGCGCATGCTCGAATCCTTGCTACCACAACCTCTGTAGGCGTCAACTCCAACCTAATAATGCGAGGTGCCATCCAGTTTATAAACACCGCCCCTCCCAACTTGAACATGCTCAAGCAAATGGACCAACGAACGTTCAGGGATATCTGTCCATGCAAGGGGAGTCATATCGCACATCTAGTACTCCTGCGGTGTATGATCAACTGAGTCGGCGGCGGTGACCGAAGCTGGTCGGAGGGCCTGCGAGCAACTGCAAGGACTGTCGCGGCAGCCGTTTCAATGAGCAGGAAACGACATTGGGACAATAGCGATGACAGCATTATGTTCCGCACGGCTTTATCGCAACGTTCAAGTGAGATCCGCTCCAGTCTCAAGGCCCTTGCATTTTGTTGACACAAATCCGACAAGAGGAACTCAGGTTTTTGTGCCTCTTCCAAGAGCGTCCCGAACAGATTGCTTGGCTTCGGAAACTATGCTATAGTGCACATGCTTACTAAATTTGTGGAGCCTCCCAGTGCAAGTTGTTGTTGTGGCCTTGACACAGTGCCAAGGATGGATCTTATCCCCAGCTAAGTACCAACTGTTAGAAGCCAGTCGCAACAAGTGGCGGGACAACTGCTGCAACGCATCAAGGGAACCAGACAGTAGTAGCAATTGTGTGCAGAGTCGCCTTTAACCACATCCGCTAGCCGCCATCCCTGCAAGATCTCATCCAAGCCGTTTCTCCAGAAACAGCCTTGGAGCCAACTGCCGAAAATTCCGAAATATAGAAGTGGCCATTCCAGCGCCCTGTGCCCCACCACATGCAGAACATTGGTTCGGACCTGGAGCTCACTTGCGGACTTGGCAGTACTACCGTGACCCTCAGCCATCAGAAACCGTGACGCGCTCCAGCTGTGGGGCTTGTGCTATCGATACTGTCGCAACATAGCATGTGGAAACCCCACCGGCCTAGCACACTGGCCCTAAAGGTCGGGGGGCGGGGGGGGGGGCGGGGGGGCGGGTTAGCATGAGCAAAAATCGCTGTCCGTAAAGTTTATGATGACCTAAGAAATTGCACACCTGATGGCTGCTATAATGTGCCATGATTTTACAAGATCACGCAGCGCCAGCGATCGCATCGCACCATCCAATGGCGACCGCAGAATCAAGTCCTTGCTTGGCCCACTGATCAAGCAAGAAACCGAAACCCCTTAGTTTAAAGCATCATCGGTAGATGTAACTCGTAAGCAAGAGGAATGGCCGTCCACCGTCAGAGTCTTTGGGTCAAGCCAAACCAAGTTGTCTAATCCCCAATGAACAGTGTGGGTCTTGTTCAACTCGCTGAAAAAGCCATACCAGTCGGGAGAAGCCCTCGCGTGGCAATGTCAACCATCAATCTCTGGTTTCTTCATGGCTACGGCCTCCAAACACTTTGCGATTTGGCCACTGCTGTTGCACGACGCAGATTGGCAGCTTGATTCCAGGCCGCATGCCGCGTTGAAGGGGAGAAAAACAAGAGACATGTTGCTCCAATTGAACCCAACAGTAGCGCCGAGAAGCCGCTCGGGAATGAGAAGGCCTCGTCCCTCTTGAGAACCTTAAGTGCGCCGCGAATCGTTGAATCATTGTTTCCTGAATCTCTTACTTCCGCACTGGAGTTGCATGATTGAGGCATTCTCGGCTCGCGTCAATCCCTTGACCCTGAAACGATGCGGGTCACTGAAAGCCCAACTGGCATCACCAACCAATTGGAATAACTAAGCTAAGCTGCAAGGGTGCCTTTCCCCAGAACTTGTCCAAATGCTAAGTGAGCTCAACAATTCAGATTGAATAGCCGCCATCCAAGTCCTTATCCTTGTTTAGGACCCTCGAGAAAGCCCATTGCGCTCCAGGACCTGCTGCCAAAACGGGTTCAGCGCTCACCGCAGTGGCGACAACATCCGACGTGGCTTCCCCACACAACTGACATTCAAGCCCATGGTGCGGCCTCAAGAGGGACGCTGGTCAAGCCTCGAACATCAACCGATACTTCGAACGACTTGAGCTGCACGAGTCCAAAGTGGAGCCGGTGTTGGCGGGAGCGTGTTCAGGGTAGACAGAGTTGTCCACCAGCCAGCGAAACCACCCGGAATTGATCAAATCGGTCCTCTCAGCATTGAATTTACCCACAACATCCCAGGGACCGTGCAACGCAACCAAGAATGCGCCAACGTCACACAACAGATGCAGTCTGAAGACCCCGTCAACCGAGAAATGCGCAATCACAGTCGCAAGAAGCCTTGGGCAGGCAGGAGGTACACATTCGCCGCAAAGAGATGGAAGCGGTCAGGGTGAGCCTCTGCACCATTGGTGTCTCGAGGCGCCCCATCCACCCACGAGCTTTCCGCCGCCAAAAGTTTTCGTCATCACTGCGTTCAGGCACTGAGGTGGACCATCGCGTTGACCTTCGTATTGTAAAACGATTGCACGGATCCAGCCGAAAACTGTTTACAAGGGCTAAAGCTCCGGTTTTTGCTCATCAGGCGACGTGCATAACAGGTTCAATGCGGAGGCAGAAATCAGGCAAGCGTCGTCTCAACGAGACTGGACACATCTGATCGGAGGACTTCGAATTGCAAGAGGTCAAGGACACTGTGTTTGCTGCTTTGCCTTGTTGGTGCAATCCGGCACATTGAGCAGTCCACCGATGCCATGCACGAAGACAGCCGTGGCTCTTGCCCTGAATTGCTCGCCACATGGTCTGAACCTGAAGGACAGCCTCGAATCGATGCAGGCACAGCGGTCTCGCGATGATGTGGCAGTGCGGGGGCGGCAGCTGACTCGGTCATTTACCTGAAGCCTCCAGTTGTGTCCTGTCCATCTCGATGAGGAATCCACGGGAGCTCGCTGATGAAGTCGACTTCCTGCAATCTCGCACGGGCTGCCTCCCCTGCACGCTCAGATTTTGGTTGGAGTTCCGCGCAGGTTGGGAGGGTTTTCGTCGAGGCTCATCCTTCTTCAACAAGGAAACGACATCTTCCAATGAAGACCTCAGGTCCCAGTGTTTTTGTGAATGCAGTGAGGTTGCAGCGCAGACTCCGATCTTATCCTCATGCAGTGCCAACTCCACCCCCAAAAAATCATCGGAGGATGATCTTGCAATACTTGAAACCAGAAGGCACGAGCGATTTGGGCTGAGCTCAGGCTTTCTATCGGACTTGGTTAACCGTTTCGAGGACGTGACACCTGAGCGCTGTGCGGGTCACAAGCAGGGGCAGTTTAAACCGCCCTTGTTGACAGGACAAGACTATGGCGCTCGAGAAGGAGCTCAAGGCCTGAGCAGGGTTCGGCTCTTGCGAATCTTCAAGGCGTTGCCCCGTCCGAAAGTATCGTTTCTGTCAGGAAATGAGAGAAGACCGGACCTTCAGTGCTGTGAGGCTAAAGATTGCGGAGGCGTGGTCGCAAGCTGGGCTTTGCCATGAAACAGTGTTCCACATGATGATACAGTTTCGACGGATGTTTGGGGTATCTTACCTGTAGATCGTCCCAAATCCCATGCCGCCACTGGAGGTGGTGCAAACCCGCCACCAAATTAGGACACATGTACGCTCTCGAGCACCTGAGCTGGAAAAAAGGAAACAGTACGACGAAGAAGCAGAGCCGTTAATTTCCGGTAATTTGAGACTGCCGCTCTTGCAATCGAAAGCATGTTCAGCCCGGTTTCGCCTCTTCGTCTGCGGGGCTAGAGGAGATGTGTTTTTTGTGATCTGGCACGTGGCTGTTTTTGATGTTGAGCCCCCTTTGCTGGGCTTTTGTCTTCCTCGACACCGGCCGCAGAAAGTTTGTGTGGTAGGGGCTTGGGGTCCGTCCACGCACACCGGGTTATGGCCGCATACGATGTGAAGTACGAGGTATAAGGTCTTGCACTATCTTTAAACCATGGTGTACCTTCCCCTGCGTAGTTGTTGTCGGCTACACTGCACCTGCTTGTTCCCTAGCTCTCACTCTCACTCACTATTGGCACTTGCAAACTGATCAATGTGACGGTTCGATGTGCAACCCCTGCTAAAGAGCCGATGATGATGACGACGACGATGATATGAAGGCGAAGGTAAGCTGACCATTTTTGCAGCGATGTATGCAAGACAGCAGGAATTGCATATGTAAAACAGACTAGGATGATCCGTCTACGGGGTCGGGTCCGGCCAAAGACGCAAGGAATGCTGCAGAACGAGCTGAGACGAATGATACGTGAGGGCTTGTGTCCACGCGATTTCACGATATGTGTAACTCTTCCCCTGGACGACAAGTCAGATCCAGAAGCGCGCTTGCTTAAGGTTTCGGAACGAACAATTCTTGTAAATAGCTCAGCTATTGACAGATTCTGACCAACGCCAACAGGATCGTGTACAAGCTGTGGTCAAGTTGTGTATGTGGCATGGACGTATCTAGGCATGGACAGCTGCTTGCATGTATGCAGGTTGTCTCATCATTTCATATCTGAAGCTGTCTGTGTCGGTCGGCATAGATCGTCGTAGAACGTCTACAGTGGTTCTGTTCGTGTTGAATCGCAACATGTGCAGCATGGCTGAGCAAGCGGAGGAGCCTAAGCGACATTCAACCTGAAAGCGCTAGGATGCTGCACACCAGAGTGCTGAAGCACTGCAACAAAGCAAAGAAGAGGCGCTGTGGGGTCCTGGATGGTGATCTCGGTCTAGGGATTGGTTCAAGGCTGTGCTCTGAATCCTGTAGCAGTGCTTGTTCTGTACATGGCGCACATGGCGGCAAGGTTGAGAGCCTGAAGCTTCTGCTGCGGGACACGAAGAGAGAGCATAACAAAAAAGTCCAGGACCTTTTGCAGACTTCATGCTGCGCCGTTTGAGCTTCCTTGTGAGAACGGGGTGTGGCTCAGATTGTCACTCTGCTGCTTGTTCCTGAGAACAGTTGTGTCTGGCGCCCAAGACGTTGAGAGAAGACCTGACGCAACTGATTTGGGCTGCCGTGATGGCTGTTGCTTTAACGTGCCCCGGGATATGGTGCAAGAAAGTGCAAGAGAGCTCTGTCGCTGGATCGTCGATACTGCCACCACCAAAGCACAGCACTCGTAAGAGCTTGAGCCGAAGGGGGAGGACGAAGACATGCTTCAACCTTCATTTCATCAAGTCCCTGCGCGGCGAAACTCCCGGCCCAAACACTCTGTGCGTGGGTATCCGCACATGCGGGGTGCTGAGCACGCGCACACACACAGACACACACACAGACACACACACACACACACAGACACACACAAACACACACACACACACACACACACACACACACACACACACACACACACACACACACACACACACACACA